GGGGCCACCAGGCTGTAGGCCCGTGATTCGCAGTTTCCTGTACCAGTTGTAGCTTGTAGTTTCCAGTGTTACAGTTCTGCTTCTTGCTGGTTACTGTAACTAGTTGATTGACCGCGCGAGGGGGGGGAGGCCCAAACAAGACTTTTAGCGTCTCCTGGGCGCGTTGTCTGAATTGCTGGGGGGGCTCGAAATCGACACCCCTCACGCAGATCCGCGGGGTCAGGGTCCAAAAACACAGGGGATTTGCCACATTTCTGAAATTCGGTGCCACCCCTCACGCAGATCCGCGGGGTCAGGGTCCAAAAACACAGGGGATTTGCCACATTTCTGAAATTCGGTGCCACCCCTCACGCAGATCCGCGGGGTCAGGGTCCAAAAACACAGGGGATTTGCCACATTTCTGAAATTCGGTGCCACCCCTCACGCAGATCCGCGGGGTCAGGGTCCAAAAACACAGGGGATTTGCCACATTTCTGAAATTCGGTGCCACCCCTCACGCAGATCCGCGGGGTCAGGGTCCAAAAACACAGGGGATTTGCCACATTTCTGAAATTCGGTGCCACCCCTCACGCAGATCCGCGGGGTCAGGGTCCAAAAACACAGGGGATTTGCCACATTTCTGAAATTCGGTGCCACCCTTCACGCACATCCATCGCAAGGCGTGGTAACCCAAACTGCGAGAACTCCCTCGGCCCTTTAATCGCAAGGTGTGGTAACCAAGCCCGTAAACCATACACGTCTTACCAATCGCCAGGTGTGGTAACCCCTCTTGTGATCAGTTGGTTTTGCTGATTGCGAATCGGCTTCGCATGAAGTTTCGATACTGCTTCACGACAGTGCCAAGGCCTCATGACTTAGCTCTTCCATGGCCCATTCTCCGAGAGAGGGGGCCGGCGGCAGGGGGCGAAGCCTTTACGGATATATATATATATATATATATATATATATATATATATATACATATATATATATACTCCCACTCTGGGCCTCTGCCGACAGACAGCGACCACATCCGGGCCCTCCCATGACTGCATGCTGAAAACTATAGTAACTAGACGCTGCTTGTATAAGCATGGATATTCTGTCGCCCGTGCCGCAGAATGCGTGGCAAGAGTTGACAGGCCTGTCTTCCACCACCATCACCATAAGTTGGAGGGGGGAAGGAGGAGGAGGACGAGGAGGAGGAGGAGGAGGAGGAGGACGAGGAGGAGGAGGAGGAGGAGGAGGAGGACCCCCTCCCCCTCCAACTCCTGGTGGTGGTGGTGGAAACGCAGGCCCATCGAGGGCGGGACGGGGCGCACATCCCGCGCGAAGGGCCGAGGTGTCCCGCTCGCCTCGGCGCCGCGCCCGGCTCTCTGGGGAGCGGAGCTCCCGCTCGGGCGCGGCGCACATTCGTTTAGAAAATACAAGAGCTTCACGGATTGAGGGCGGGTCGTTTTCAAAATGTGGCTCTCGCCTAAGCGCGGCGCACAGTCATTTTTAAAACATGCCAGAGATTCACGGATTGTGGGCGGGTGGTTTTCAAAAAAAATGGCTCTCGCCTTAGCGCGACCTAAGCTAGGGAAACAAAAAGTGGCATAAACATAAACACTCGGAGGTCCGCGCGAATTTCTCGGATCGGCGCTGGGGCCCCCCGGCGGCGCCTCCGGCGCCGCCCCTGGCGCGCTCCGCGCGCCAGGGAGGGGGGTCCAGCGCCGATCCGAGAAATCCGCGCGGACCTCCGAGTGTTTTTGTTTATGTCACTTTCTGTTCCCCTATAAACGGTGTTTTGGCGATTTCGTGGGCCGTGCTCGTTTCGACTTCGTCTTGCGGTAGAGGTGGGCTGAGGACAAAAAACAAGAGATAACGGTAACAAAACGAAAACGAAAAACACCGCTTAGGTTCGGCCCCGGCGCGCATCTTTCGCATGCGTGTCACGCGAGCGGGCGACCTCGAGAGACTCGTGCCTCGGCGCCGCGCAGCTTCCCGCCTCGGCGCGTTTCGCACATTTGCCCCTCGCCCACTTTTGAGGGGCCCACGCAGGTGGGCAGAAGAGCACAGACTCGAATCGACAAGTCGGACGGGCGATCGCAATGGATCGGATCGGCGGAGATCGGCAGCCACGTCGGGAGAAGTCGAATCGGCGGACATCGGCAGGCTAGAGCAGGCCTCAATTGAGAGATCGGACTCCGCATCAGAAGCGGAAGCCGAAACCCGAAACGGACTCGGAAGCCATCGGCATCGAAGCGAAACGGATGCACCGAAATGAGCCCCGCGTGGGCGACTTGTTTAGAACAAGAAAAAACGCCATAAACATAAACTTTTGGCGCTCCGCGCGGGTTTCGTGGATTCGCGCTGAACCCCTGGCGCGCGGAGCGCGCCTGGGGCGGCGCCGGAGGCGCCGCCAGGGGGGCCCCAGCGCGGATCCAAGAAGTCCGCGCGGAGCGCCAAAAGTTTATGTTTGTGTGCGTTTCTTCTTCTTCTTCTTCTTCTTCTTCGATTGTCGCCCTCGCCCAGGTGCCGTGCGCACGTGGCGCTCGGGAAGCGGCGCTCCTCCCGCGCGGGCGCGGCGCAAGGGGCTCTCTTCTGCGCCAAGGCGCGCATCGGATCACACGACAGCGGCAGCGGGGCGGCGAGCAACAGCGGGGGCGACAAACGGAGAGGGCTGGTTACTAAAGCGGCCCAAGGACACACAAATGAGCACACACAGATCCCAAGATTCCACCTATTTCCCGTATTTTGTCCTGGGTTTGGGTCTTTCCCTCCCACTTCCCATCTTTTCCATCTGTTCCTTGGAATCGACGATGAGTTGTGTCTGTGTGTTTGTGGGGCTCTTGATCGTTATTCGCGGCGATCACGGGCGTTACTTATGGGGCAGGGGGAAAAGGCGGGGGGGGCGGGGGACGCACAACGTGACGCCGCGCCCCCCACCGCGACAGACTGTGGTGCCAGACGCTCTGGTACGCTCTGCGGCAGCGCTGGGAACACGCCTGGCAGGGAGGAGCGTTACGTCATGGGGGGAGGGAGGGAAAAGAGTGGGGCCTACCGCGCCTCATGGTCCAGAGGGGAAAGAAAACGCGGTCATGCTGGACCTCGCCCAAACGCCGCGCAGTTTGTGAGTGAAAGTGGCAATGCTGAGTCAGCGCGGCACATGCTTCGCCTTCGCCGCGCCTTCGGAACTTTTGTCGCTTCCGCCCCTGCGTGGCCCGCGTGGTTCTCTCTTCGCCGATTCGTTGAGCGCGGGACCGCACGCGAGCTCCTTCCGTTTGTGAGGTGGGAGCGGGTTCCAATCCCAATGCCAAGTTGTGCCCGAATTATCGATTTATATGTTATGCTTTGGGGGGGAGGGTGGGTGTAGGCGGGGCCATCTGACTCGCTCGGCCTGGCTAATTCTCCATGTCTGTCCTCATTACGAGGTCTCCTCATCTCTCAACCTCCATCCTCCGCCTCTCCCTTACAAAAATCAACAGAGTCTCAAAACACACGGTGAATATCCCACAACACCTTCGGGTACTCTGCCGTGTGTCCTGTCGCGCTCCTTTCCCTCTTCCCCTTCTACTGTCTACTAGCCGTAGTAGTCGCACAAAGGACCACCAAAATCAGGAACGTTCCTCAGCGCCCAGGCCGATTAAGATTGCACCAATACTCCCATGGGGGCGAAACCAGAAAGCAGCGCAAGCCCAGAAGAAGTCTAAAAGCTCCCCAGACAACCCGGCGAGCCCAGGAGGGCCTCCATGCGGCGGCTTGTCGGACTAGAGGAAGAAAAAAACAGCACAAACATGAACTTTTGGCACTCAGCGCGGATTTCTTGGATACGCGCTGGGGCCCCCCTGGCGGCGCCTCCGGCGTCGCCCCTGGCGCGCTCCGCGCGCCAGGGAGGGGGTCCAGCGCGGATCCACGAAACCCGCGCGGAGCGCCAAAAGTTTATGTTCATGCTGGTTCTTCGCCTTCGATGGACTACGAGAACCCAAGGAACGTCGCATGCTCCCCGAAACCTCCACAGGTCCGGGCGTGGTGCCGCGACGCGCTGTGGATCCAGCCGCTCCCGCCTATGGTGCCAGCCGCGCGGGATCACACTGTCGAGGTGTGCGGCCAACATCGCCTGTCACTTCGGAGTCCCGCAACGGTGCGGTGACAGACCGTGCGGTGACCTCGAACCCCCCCAAACCCTCACGGCACGGTCCGTCAGCGCACGGTGCTGGGACCCCGGAGGCTCCAGTCGCCCGAGACATCCTCGGAGAACGGCCCGAGTCCCAAAAGCGTGCGGTGACCCCGAATCCCCACCGACTCACCACACGGTGTGGTCACCACCCCGCTTGGGGGCCCCCGAGTAACTATCAGGTCTCCAACAGGGGGGAAGCAGAAGGGCCTTCGGAGCCTGTCCCTTCAATCTTGCCCAAAGACCCTCAACATGCCCCCGAAAAGCCCCCAAGACTCCCCCAGGAGGCCCCAAGGGGTCCCCAAGGCCACACGAGGCTCCCAAAATGCGTCGAAGAGGCCCCCCTGGAGGCCCCCGAGAGGCCTCCCAAGAGACCTCAAGAAGCCTCCGAAAGAGACGTCTTGTTCATGACACAGGCAGGGTGGCGTGGTTGGCCGAAAGCCACAGATACTCCGAGGATGCATTCAGGCAGCCCCTAGCAAGGACAGCTGACATGCGCGCCGCGTCACGACTCTCGATGCTGCGAGCAACCTCGCCAAACTCTTGAGGAGCGGTCGTTGATTCGCCGCAGGCGTCTTCGATCATAATAGCAACCACCAGCGAATCGTAAGAGCCATAGCCAACAAGTAAGAGCCACAATCTCAACCGAACAAGGACGAGTCAGAGCGACGAGGGGGGAGGGAGGAGGGAGGAGGAGGAAGAGGAGGAGGAGGAGGAGGAGGAGGAGGAGGAGGAGGAGGAGGGAGGAGGGAGGAGGGAGGAGGGCAGAGAGAGGAGGACGAGGAGACAGCCACACACGAAGACGAGCAGCGACTGCTCTGCGGCGGCGTGGCACGAGCGCCGCCGCCGCCGCCGCCGCCGCCTGCAGGTCACCGAGGACCTCCACGGGCTTGCCGAGCTCCTTGGCGTACTTGCGGATGAGCGGGTACACCCTGCCCGCCCGGAGAGGCTCGAGGCTCGAGGCCTGATCGCCTTCGACCCTCTCTGGGCCTCGAGGGCCCTCTGGAAGCCCCCGCGCGCGCACTCCTGGGGCACGGCCCTCCAGAGACCTCCAGCGATGGCCCCGTCGGGTCGGCCTCCATGGAGGAACAGGACACGGCAGACACCCAAATCGTCGGAGCTCCGCGCGGTTTTCTTGGATCTGCGCTGCCCCCCCCCCCTCCCTGGCGCGCGCAGCGCGCCAGGGGCGGCGCCGGAGGCGCCGCCAGAGGGCCCAGCGCGGATCCGAAAGATCCGCGCGGAGCTCCGACAGTTATGGTTATGCAGTATTGTCTTCATCGACCGTCGTCGTGGCCCAACTGAGATATCGGCGCCCGTCCCTCCCCTCTCGTGACGCGACTCATGAGTGCGTATGTCAATGTCGGCGCGTGCTGTCCACCGAGCCCCTTCGGTGCCATCAGGGCGGCAGAGGCCAGCGCACCGACAGGTCACAGGGCAAGCCCACGGCGAACTGCTGCCTTCACGACGTAATAGAAGAAGATGAAGAAACGACAGCAGGACCATAAACTTTCAGAGGTCCGCGCGGATTTCCCGGATCGGCGCCGGACCCCCCTGGCGGTGCCTCCAGCGGCGCCCCAGGCGAACTCCGCGCGCCAGGGAGGGGGGGGCACAGCGACGATCCAAGAAATCCGCGCGGACCTCCGAAAGCTTATGCGTCGTATGCTATCTCCTCTTCTTTCTCTTCAACGCAAGTCCTGGCCTCTGACTCCGCGCGAGCCCTTCGACCCTGAATAGTCTCAGCGCCCGGACGCCCCCAGAGGCTCTCCAGAAGACGAACATCACTGCATAAGCACTACTCGTTCGAGGGGCCGCACGGATGTCTCGGAGATCGGCGCTGGACTCCCCATCCCCTGGCGCGCGGAGCGGGCCAGGGGCGCCGCCGGGGGGGGCCCAACGCCGACCCAAGTAATCCGCGCGGAGATCCGGAAGTTTGAAGGTATGACTATTATTGTTTTTCGGCACTCGACCCCATCCCTCCCATCGATTTCGCGCCATACATTGTAATGATCTGCGACCTGGCCGACCAAGCGAGGGGCGTCCAAGAGGAGGGCTCGCAGACAGTAGGGGCTCGACCACAAGAAACCTTACACAACAAACCCAACCCTGGACCCCAGGAAGTCCATTGATTCTTGGTGTGGGAACATCGCGCTTTCCATAGCAAAACCATCGGAAAGCAAGAAACCCAGGGCACCCTGGAGGCAAGCGGGGTGTTTATTCTCATGGGTCTCCACTGTATCCTGCCTCGAGACACGTGCGCGGACGGGGGGATAGCAGGAGGCGTGCTGAAAGAAGAAAAGGGGACCATGAAATCTGGTGAAATACACGTCGGTCGGAAGAAGTATATTAAAAGCATGAAGAAGGAAGGCGGATCAAATAGATTGGGTCCAGGCCCTCCCTCAGGAATAACAAACACACATTCAAAGCAGATCGATTCTTGAAGAAGGAGGGCACTTGAAGCAGATTGGGATCTGGGAATCCAAAACATACATGCTTTCAACGGCCGACGCGTATCATTAGAGGAAAAACAAACACCATAAACATATACTTTTGGCGCTCCGCGCGAAATTCTTGGATCTGCACTGGACTCCCCTCCCTGGCGCGCGGAGCGCGCCAGTTGTGGCGCTGGAGACGCCGCCAGTGGGGCCCAGCGCGGATCCAAGAAATCCGTGCAGAGCGCCAGAAGCTTATGTTTGTGGCGTAACCTGCTTCCAACGGCCGACGTGTAACATGGTCTCCGCCATGACATCACCCCCTCCCCCGTAGTAGTCGACCCACTCTTGGCCGCCCCCGAACGCCCTTCGGTCCGAGCCTGGGCCCCAAGCAGGTGATCAGCCCTGAGCGCCCGAGAGAGCTTGCGCCGCCGCCGCGGCCGGGCCAGCGCACACCGTCCATTGTTCCAGAGGGGCCCAGGGGCACACAAGTAAAGAGACACTGATCCCAATATTCCCTATATTTTCTCATTTTATGGATTCTCGTCTTCCCCTCCGCTTCCCATATTTTTCCATATTTGCCAGGGGATCGACGATTATTTGTGTCTGTGTGTTTTTTTCCCCTCCTGGATTGTGCTATGAGGCAGTCCCTCCAGCCCTCTGGGCGTAGGTGGTTCAACGAACTCTTGTCTTCTCTTGTCCCACAACCCTCCTTCCTCTGCTCCGGGGAGGGGCTTATTACTGTTTCCTATTGGTCTACACCCCCTCCCCCACCCCGCCGACAGCCAACCCAGAGCAATGCCGACCCCATGATCACCCGCCCCCACCATCCCTGTCGTAAACAATGCAAAACACACTCTGCCTTCACATTTGGAGCATGCGCGGCCGCCCCACGAACACTTTGTATTGTTATTTTACAGGGGCGGCCAGGGTGCCAGCAGATCCCACCTGCCTTCTGGGCGCAGGTGGTCGACTAACTGCTTTGACGAATCAGTGGCTGCTGCCTTCTCGTCTTTTCGTTCCCGATGGGCTTTCGAAGCCTCCAAATGGCTCCAAAATTGGCCAAGAAAGCTCCAAGTCGGGCCCAAGAGGCTTCCAAACCGGCCCAAAGAACACCCCACTCGCGAGGTGGCCAGCAGCCGCAAGCATCCGCCAGTGCGTGCGCAATTGCTGGCGTAGCACTCGTTGCGGCGCACGCAGGTGAAGACCCTATCGGTTCCCAGTGGTTGGCGCACATGGCGCGGCTGGAGCACGTGGAACACTGGGTGCACGTTGAGCACGTGCCGCACCTGGCGCGCCTGGCACGCTTGGGCCTCCAAGGTGTCTGGTGCATCTGGAACCCATGGCTTCTGGTGCGCTCTCACGCGATATGCTGACACCCGGGTGTTGGTTATTTGTTGAGAGGGCGGTGGGAGTGAGCCAGACGGCTTGCGGGGGCCTCCTTGTGCTGTCTTGGGGCGATCTTTGGAGCCTCTTGGGCCATTTTGGGCCGTTCTTAGCCCGAAAATGCGAAAACCCGAAACCGCATCAAAAATCATTTAGCAAATCAATGAATGTTGCCTTTGGGGGGCCCTCTTTTTTTTTAGCGCTCAGGAGATCTGACATTCGCAGGGTTGGTCAGTTCACGCTGCCACACACGGAGGCAGCTGCGGCAACCTTAGCTGACGAGCAACAAAACAACTGCTAGGGATAAGTATGGAGAGGGACAAAAAACCAAGAAGAGGGAAGGAAGAACGAGATGATGAGAGCAAGGAGGTCCGAGAGTCGTTGGAGAAAGAAATCGAGGATACGTCCCCCGCAAAAACACACGCACACGCAGACTGTCCGAGAGAGCGTGTTTGCGGAACCCGCGCACTGCGGTAATCCTCCACATACACAACAGTATACGCAGACTCGACTCGACTCGCGCCCTGCACAGTCAGACTGGCCCCAGTCAATGGGAGGGCGGCGTACTACGCGCAGGTAGGCAGGCCCACCCACGGCAGTGCGTGGGCCTGCCTGCCTGCGTTCAGAGTTCAGTGCGTGGTGAAACGATCTTCAAATTCAGCCCACTCCTCCGGGTTCCGGGCAATGTTTGTCTTTTTGGGCCGTACGTGTCAGCGAAGCCGTCGGCCCACCTCTTCACAGGACGCCCGATGCAGTCTCTCTTGCTCTGGGCCGGGCCTGAGCTCCTCAACAGCATCTTGTAAGACCACTCGTGTGCATCACTTGACAGAAAGTTCCCCGCTAGCTTTCACTTTCGAGCTCTGCACTGCGCAATCAAATCGTCCATCCCAACGTCGTCCAGACGTTGTTCGATATCCTGGGCTATTCGCTGAATCCACTTCACCCATGTCTCGAAATCTTCCTCCCCATCAGAACTGCTTTCCTCCTCCTTCCCGAACCCGCAACCAGGCGTAGTATTTGCCGTGGGTTCATCGCAAGAGGGAGAGCTAAGCCGACCCGCTGCCAGCTGCGAAAAACGGATGCTGCTCGGCCGCCGACCACGGGAAGGACATGGCGCCAGGGATACACGCAGGCGTTCCGACAGGCACTGGGCAAGTGTTTCTTACACTCTCACTCAGAGCGGCGGCAGGAATCATATAACGATAACACAGCAAGTCACCCGAACTTGGATTATGCATGAAATGTCGTGCAGACGATTGGGCTGATCATAACTTAGACTCAGCTCCACCAGCCACTTGAAGGCGCGAGGGGGGCGCAAAAACGTGCCACGGCTTTGCTGCCACGGGCAAAAGAACCGAACAGAGTGAATTATTACCACGAACGGAAAGCCATCGGCCACTGTGCCGCGGGCCCTGCAACAACAAAACCCACTTGACCCCAGACATGCTGTCAACTCAACGCACACATGTTTGTCCTCCTTCACCTTCTCCTCTCCTTGTGTCTGTGAGCTTTTTCTCCTCCTGACCAGCGTCGTTGGGCTGTCCTGGTCTGTCGTGAAGCCTTTCGGGGGCATCAGAGTCCCGCGCAGCTCTCTTGGATTCATCCTGAGCGGAAAGGGATGGCACAACGACTACAAACAGGACCGCCGCATGGCTGGACTCATGCTGGTCGCCTGGATATCCTCGTGGGGCCCTGGGGCCATCTTGGATGCAATACATCCTTGTTAAAAAATGTGCGTAAGAAAGGCCAGGGGAATGTGCAGCACCTCCCTCAAGCATCTGGCTTGAAATCAAATCCGTCGAGTCTCCTCCGTTCAACTTTGTTCAACCACGCCGTATTCAAAGAATACACCAGCTCGGATGTTACCAGTGCTTGAAATAGTTCCATCTTCTGAGTGACCACGGGCAAGAATGACCTCTGGTGTACAGCTTCTGGGGGCCCGTGAAGTGGGCACAGCCCAAGCGCACAAGCTGGGGATATCTCATCGAGCTCAGCGGTCGGGAGACCCTGGCAGCGCACCAGAAGGTCACTCTGGCGAAAGGCCGCCCTACTGCGTAATTAGCCTTGCCGGCCACGGGGCTCGAGGGGGCGCGGCCGACGGGCAGAGGCTGGGACCGGCGAGCCCCGGCCTGCCGGCGCGGCTCACAGGCTGGCGGGCCTGCGCAGCCCCGCGGCCTCGAGGGCGCCCAGGGTCCAACCGCTGCGGTGCGACTCCCCATCGGGCTGCGGCGGCCGCCTGGGCCCTCGGCCGGGCCTTCGTCGAGCGCCGCTGGACGTCCAGCGCTGGACGCTGCTGAAGGTCATGCGCGCGGTGCCTCGGCCCCGCTTGGACTGGTCCGGGATGTCGGCCAAGTCCAGGAACACCGTGGCCGAGAAGGCGAGCCGGCGCTGGCGCAGGTGGGTCGGCATGAAGTGGAGGGTTTGCGAAAAAATGTCCGTGGAGGTTGAGATATCAACCTTGGTCTGGCCCAGGAGCGCGACATACGCCTCCTGGACCCACGCCACAAACTGGTCGTGTTGGTTCATCTTGACCCAGCTCAGAAACTTCGCGTCCTCGCAGGTGCCGAAGCAGTGCTGGAAGCTGTCGGAGAAGCACAGAATGTCGTAGCCAGCCGAGAGCACGTCGAACCAGAAGGCGGGGGCGTCCCCCTCGAAATCATTGAAAAACGTCGAGCCTGAAGGATCCGAGCCCAGGGACTGCTCCAGGTCCAGAGCGCCCAGGTCGCCGACGCTGCTGCTGCCGTTGCTGCTGCCGCCGCTGTCTTCAGCGTCCTCTGGCGGACCGGGGGGCGGCCTCGGCGGCGTTCCCTGCAGGTCCTGCTTTGGCCGGCCACCCCGCCGGCGCAGCTGCCTGATCTCCGCCAGACGCCCTAGGTTTGGCAGAAGCATGGAGTCAGAGTCGCTCACCTCCAGGACGCCCACCTTGAAGGCCGGGAGCCCGCCCTGGCAAAAATAGGACACGGCGAACACGTGCACGTTCACGGGCATGCCCGTGCTGTCCTTCATCAGCACCTGGAAGGTCTTGCTCAGGTCTGAGTGCTCCTTCCCGCAGTCCCGCAGCTGCCCCATCTGTTCTGTGAACTTGCTGTTGTCGGATTCGGACACCAAGAACGAGCGGATGTCCTCCTGCTTGAGGCTGCGCTGGGGATTCAGGAACAGCATGTCAGCTAGCTCCCGCGAGTGCCTCTGCAGCCTGAACTCCGCGTCGAGGTCGACCACCACCTCGCACACGCAGCCGAGCACCGAGGTGGCCGCCCGGAGCTCCTGCCTGGATAACTTGGACTGGAGCTCCAGGCGAACGATGTAAGTCAGGAGGTGGTGAAACACGATGATCATGCCCACCAAGAGAATCATGTTCTGAAACCCGTCGCTCAATATCTGCTCGAAGCTGTACTCATCACTCTGGATTTCCTCTGCGTTCTCCCCGAACATCAGCGTGTAGGTGGGCGAGAAGCATAGCACAAGCAACCATGGGATGTTCACTATCGGCTTCAGATTCCAGAGACATAAGAAAAGGCTGAGAATGTAGATCATGCTCATGCGATAGGCGACCAGGTCTGCACGGATCGCATACGGTGACAGGTACACTACCAGGCAGGCCATCAGCGCAGAGAACCAGTAGTCCAAAGACCTGGCCGTCACGACGCAGACTTGCGCCCATTGCGATGCCCACATGATGGATATCATGCCGCTGAAGACGGAGAGAGCGATGTCCTGAACGATCGACCCGAACCTCTTCACGGAGCCCCCGTCCAGCCCGCTGCGCACGGTGAAGACGAAGAAGTTAATGAAGACCAGTGCCTGCGCCCAGGGGAGGATCCGCAGGGCGCGCGTCAGCCGCCGGCGCTCCAGCTCCTCGCACAGCGAGGCCTCGCAGGCGCCGTCCTGGCGCGCCCGCCGGCCGCAGGTGGCGCCCGACGCCAGCAAGGAGCCCTCGCAGAGGCGGCGGCCCCGCAGCAGGCCGACGAGCACCACGAGGCAACAGGCGAGGAGGCCGCAGGCGCCGACCATGAACACCACAAAGTCGCGCTGCCTTGAGGCCACGAAGTTGCCCGGCGAGAACTGGGCCATGCCCTCGTCCTGCAGGCCCGCGTGGGGCGCCGGAGGTGAGATTGCCCGAGCCGAGCTTGAGCCAAAATGGCAACGGAGCCTTTTGGGGGCCCTCTTGGGAAGCTTCCTGCAAGCCTCTTGGGGAGTCTCGGGGCCCTATTGGACCGGCTTGAGGCCATACTAAGCAATCTTGCAAAGATCTTGGAAGGTCTTGTGGTCTCTTGGAGCGTTCTGGGGCCGTCTTGGAGCCGTCTTTGACCTCTCTTGGGCCGTCTTGGGGAGTCTCTTGGGCCGCCCTGGACTCCTCTTGGGCCGTCTTGGGGGCCTCTTGGGGAAAAGGGTCTTTAGACCTGTCCCCGCTCCTCCCCCCTCCCCTGGACCCCTACCTGGAGGGCTTCGCCTCAACTCAACGTCATCACTCGTACCTCTTTTCGTCACCTAGTCACCTAAATCCCCCCTCCTCCCCCCCCTCCCCTAGACCCAGCCCTAAAGGGCTTCGCCCCAACTCAATGTCATGACTCATACGTCGCTCTTTCCGTCACCTGGGCCGGCACGGGAACGGAAAGCGATGGTACTCTGTGAGGGCATGAGCTCGCTTGCTCAGTGTCTTGGAGCCCTCTTGCTGTTATGACTTTGGCACGGCATACGAACAACGAACAACAAACCTTGCGAAAATCTGTCAATATCGCCTCTCTGGGCCTTCTGCCGTCTTGGGGCCCTCTTGGATCGTCCTGGGGCCCCCTTGAGCCGTCTCGAGTAGCTTGGGTCCTCTTGGAGCCCTCTCGGAGCCCAGCCGAGGGCCTCTTGGTGACCTCCCGTGGCCCTCTTGGAGCTCTCTTGGGAACCTTACGGGACCTACTCCCCTCTTATGAGGGGACCTACTTCCTCCGGGACCCGTTTCCGATGGGCGGCCTTGGCACTAGTTGTTCGTCCTGGACCTGTCTCTGATAGTCCCGGGGGCTGAAGTCGAACTCGAGGAAAGACGCCGGGATCGCACAACAAACGGATCGTCGGAGATCCACGTGGAGGGCCGCCTGCGGGACCCTCGCCGCAGGCGAACGAGGTGGGAACCTTATGGGACCTACTCCCTTTTCCTTATTCTCCTCGCTCCCCTCTCCCTCACGTGCTCCCCGAAAGGTTCAACCGCGGCCAGGGGAACACATGGTCCGATGGCTGGTCCAAGCTCTAGCCAGCTTCGGCCACATAGACGACTCCAAAAAGGCAGGGGGCGGCGGTGGTTCGCCGTAGGCGTCTTCGATACGAGCGGATGTCCTGGGCCGGCGCCGAAACCCCTCCCCGGCGCGCGGAGCGCGGGACGACGACGGAGGCGAGGCCCAAGGTGCGCAGGACCGAAAAATCCGCGCGGACCCCCCAGAGTTCAGGCTCGTGCTGTGAGGAACGCTGAGAGAGGAGCGAAGGCCCTGGAGCCGGCGGGGGTCAGAGGTGGCCCAGCACTGCTGCCGGCCAGCAGGACTGGGGGAAGAGGTTCGAGGCTCTGGACGTGAGAAGGTCTGCTGCCGCTCTCGGCCTCCGGGGGCCGCTCTCCGGCCCGTGAGAACGGATCCAAGGAGAAAGGCTTCACCAGATGGACCTTAAGGAGGGGTCCAGGGACCGATTTTGAGCGGAGTTGCCGTATCCTCCCTACATTACCGAGTTTCTTGGGGCCCGTTCATTTCAGACCCCCAGGCCGCCTCCAACGAGGACCCCTTTTTGGCCTCACAATCGTTCTGGCGCGCGAGCGCTAAGAAGGAACGACCATGGAAGCACCGCAAGAATAACGAGATTGACTGTATGCTCGTGCCGTTCAGTGGAGGCCTCCCAACTGGGGCCAGAGCAAGAGGGGTCGGAAGATCGCACCGCATCGCCGACGAATCGCCGATGCACCAGAAACGTCGGGACGGAGAACATCGGGGACCGGATCGGGCCGCATCGCCGATGCATCGCCGATGCGGTGCGCTCCTCCGACCTCATCTGCTCTTTGGCCTCCGTACGGGAGGCCTGGACTTTTGCTGCTGTCCGAGAGGGCTGAGTATCGTTTCACCCATCCCCAGCCCCAGCGGCGTGGCCCGGGCGCCACTGGCCGAGCTACCCCCCTACAGATGGGGATCTAGGCCGCTGCCTTCGGGCTTCGAGGAGCACATCCCCGACTCGGGGGAAAACCTGGTGGGGGCCTCGAAGGGGACGGGGATGGGGGCTGGAGGTCGGCTCAACGACACCGAGAGGACGGACCGTGGCGTGGGGCCCCCGGAGGCCCGCCTCCCCCTCCCAGGCCCGCTGCAGCCCGGGTCGCTGGCAGGCGGCCCCGGCCCCGGGGCCGGGGACCGGCGTCCGGGCCCGGAAGGAGATGGGCCTCCGACCGCAGCGAGGTCCGTCGCGAGGGCAGAATCTCTGGAAGTCCACCTCCTCAAAACATGTGTATATATATATATATATATATATATCCACCCCAATAACAGCCACCCCGACGAGCGAAGCCGTGCATGCGACGCACCCAAGGAAGGAATCGAACAGGGCAGGGCTGTGCAGGAAGCGCCCAGGGCCGGCGAGTACACGCCTATCATCGGGGTCTGGGTACTTCTTCCTTCCCTTGAATGACACCTCCTGCTGAGGGTTCTGGAAGAATCTCCAGGGGGATCCAGCCGTGGCGCGCGAGACGCCTGCCAGAAACCAAAATACGGATAAGACCTGCATCGATCCCCAAACCTCTACGAACACCCACAATGGAACACGCGGTAGCGATGGCATGTGTTTTCGCGACAGCCAGATCTGGGGGAAGCGGGAGGGGGGAGGAGGGGGACGGAGACAGAGGAGGAGGAGGAGGAGGAGGAGGAGGAGGAGGAGAAGGAGGAGGAGGAGGTGGAAAAGGAAGAGGAAGAGGAGAGGGAGGGGGGAAATGGGAAGCAGGAGGAGGGAGAAAAGGGGGACCAGGCGACGCGCGACAGCACACACCAAGAAGCCTGCTTCCCCCTTTGGCGCAAGCCCCCGCCGCTCGAAGTCGCCGCCGCGGCGGTGCGAGCAGTTGAGGCGGAAAATGTCCGTCCCCGCCTAGCGGCCCACAGGACGAACAAGGGGGGGGGGGAAGGACCTCCCGTATGACTCTCTCTCTCTCTCTTGTTTGTTCGTGGATGCTTCTCTCTCTCTCTCTCTCTCTCTCCCTAAGTATATGTAGAGTTCCCTCTGTTCCTCTCTCTCTCTCACCCTCTCTCTCTCTCTTCTTTGTTTGTTTCTCTCTCTCTCTCTCAAACACACACACACACACTCTCTCTCTCTTTCTCTTTCTGACTCTCTGACTCTCTGACTCTCTCTCTCTCTCTCTCTATGCATGTGTGTGTGCATTGCGTTGCAGCTGTCTCTAATTCCCTATCTCTCTCTCTCTCTCCCTCCCTCTCGCTCGCTCGCGTTCTCTCTCTCTCTCTCTCTCTCTCTCTCTCTCTCTCTCTCTCTCTCTTTATGTATATATACATAGGTATGCATGCATAGATGTGGCTGTATCGTTTGTTGTATTGATGTTCTCTCTATATCCATCTCTCTCTCTCTCTCTCTCTCGGATAAGAGGCTTCTCCATGCCTGTATATCTCGTTCGCGTTCTCTCTCTCTCTCGTCGATTCGTGTTCTCTCTCTCGTTCTGTCTTTATTTCAGCACCCCCTCTCTTTCTCAATATTGATATCCCGTCTCTCTCTCTCTCTCAATCTCTCTCTCTCTCTCTTTGTCTCTCTCTCTCCCTCGCTCTCTCTTTCTCTGTCTCGCTCGCTCTCTCTCTCTCGATCTCTCTCTCTCTCTCTCTCTCCCGTTCGACACATGCATATAACCATATAGTTGTGTATATACGACCATGTGTCTGCATCGCGCTCTATATCGCTCTCAATGAGTATATCCCTACACGCTGCCGGAAATTATTTCTTCGTATTATATCACTGCATACGTGCTTATGCAGAACTGTGAATAACTGTACACAAATGTACGTATCAACGTGTGTACGTGCGCGCGCGTTGTGCACTCCATATGCACATTCTCACCGATCCAACAAATCTGTAATCCCCAGACAGTGGTTGCACTGAGATGCGAATGTGTTTCTCGCGAAATAAATTGGAATGGACTGAACTGAACTGCCTGATCGCACCCGTTGCGTTACGGTTGTATTCTCGGCCGCCAAGGGCGCAACTTATGGCGCAACAGGTAGGAAACGGTTCTGTTCTCGGCCGCCAAGGGCGCAACCTATGGCGCAACCGATAGGAGACGGTTTTATTCTCGGCCGCCGAGGGCGCAACATGTGGCGCAACCGATCGGAGACGGTTTAAGGGCGCAACCTACGGCGTAACCGATAGTAGACAGTGTTCTTCCCGGCCGCCGAGGGCGCAACCTATGGCGCAGAAGATAGGACACGGTTTCATTATCGGCCGCCGAGGGCGCATAATATGGCGAAACAAATAGGGGACGGATTAATTCTCGGACGCCGAGGGCGCAACCTATGGTGCAACCGATAGGAGACGGTTCAATTCTCGGCCGCCGAGGGCGCAACATATGGCGCAACCGAGAGGAGACGGTCTCATTCTCGGCGCCGAGGGCGCAACCTATGGCGCAGCCGATAGGAGACGGTTTTCTCGGCCGGCGAGGGCGCAACCTATGGCGCAAACGATGGGACACGGTTTTATTTTCGGCCGCCGAGGGCGTAACCTATGGCGCAACTGATAGGCACTGGTTTTATTCTCAGCCGCCCAGCCGCTCTCTTGAACCGCTGGCGGGCCAGCGAGGGCGTCGAGGACCGAAGTGCCAGGAGAACGAGGACGAGCAGGAGGAAGAGGAGAAACGAGGACGAGGTCCTAGACGAGGACGACAACGAGGAGCTGGAGCAGGAGGAAGACGAGGAAGACGAGGAGGATGAGGAGGACGAGGAAAAGGACGACGACGATGATCAGGATGGGGAGGAGGACGGGGAGGAATACGAGTAGTACGAGGACAAAGAGTGGGCATTCGAATGGGTGCGGGGCTACGCCGGACTTGTGCTCGCCGTTTGGGCTGGCGGTGGAACCCAAGCGGCGAGCTGTCTTGTGCTTGTTAGGGGATGCGCGACTGCCTGGCGGTTTGGTGGTTCCGTATTCGCCGTCGCCGCCCCGTCGCCACCTCGTCGCCGCCCGTCGTCAAAGCTTGTCTAGCGGTTTGGCGGTTTCGTGTTCACCGCCGCCGACTCGTCACCGCCTCGCCCCCCGTCGTCTGGGCCTGGGTGGCCGTCTGGCGGCTATGTGCCATCGGGGTTGGCCCGAAGAAAAAACAAGAAGGGGCTGGACTACGGAACTACATAAATCACTCACGCCATGAAGGGCTACCGCGGTTGCACCACCTAGATAACACAACGGTTCTCTTCTTTTCCAAACAAACTTAAAATACACCGCCCCTACGAGGCCAGAGTTACTGCCCCAATGGGGATGTGCAGTTGACGTGCGACAAACTATGAATTCGGACCACCCCAGCCAGGCAAGTGCGAACACCCCGTCCATCATCCCCTGCAAAACACACTATGCGCACACTCGTGTATGATCACAAGTGTTTCAGACTCCCTTGTAACAGATGGGGCGAAAGCGCGCGCGCGCCGTCGCGCGCGCATGCAACAACGAGACAAAAACTCACAGCTCGTGGGGAATTTACACCGACGTTCCCGAAAACATGCAAAAACACATCGCTGTGCAACATCAGCTGTCGGGAAAAGATCTGCGCGATCTTGCGATTTATTACGCAACAACGTTTGTTCGAACTTTCGACCAAAGTGGCCCCTCGCGCGCGCGTCGAAATCATTCGAAATCCATTGCGCGCGCGCCGGGGGGCGGGGTGGGCACGACCCCTGTCGAAATAATGCGATGCGGCCCGATCGCGCGCGTCGGCCGAACGCGCATGTCGAAATCCCCCCAGCACCTTCATCGCCGCCGCGGGGACACCATCATCGTCATCATCGTGTCGACCGTCGTGGACGTCGTCATGATACAGCGCCCGCCCATCTCACCGACTCGCATTGACGTGCTCGCGCGTCAACGCGGCCTGAAAGAAACACCTGACGGTGACCGCCGCCGCGGCCGCGTCGGTCGCACCAAACAGCCCAGCCGCTGCGCGTGCGAGCGCTCGCGGGCCAGCGCGGACGCAGAGAAGCACCCGCCAGCGGCAGGCAGGCGTCGCAATCGCAGCCGCATGCGCTTTGCAACCCGAATTGCGGGCGCGCGGGTGGGATGCTTGAGCGAGCAATAGAATTCACAACTGGCTGCAAACAACAGCTGGTATCTCTTATCAGAAAGAGTGAGGATCCACAAAACTCCGGAGGTCGGACTTACCCCCCCCTTTAGGATGTGGAAAATACGGGCGGCCCTGCACCATCGCTCGATCTGATCATGGATTCACAAGATCCCAACCACACCGTCATCGACCCCCTTCATCCCCTGCGAAGAAACTCACGCACGCAAGCTTATGCAACTCCGAAGATAGATTTGCATTCAAAACACCCTTGCAAACAATGGGACGAAGCGCGCGCGCCGGCGCGCGCCCCGTCGCGCGCGTGCCCCAAAATCATTCAACAAACAATGGTTCCGCAAGAGTTTCGAAACCGAGCGCCCCGAAAACATGCGAAACCATGGTTTCGCAAACGGAGTGCTCAAACAGCCTGCGCTCGCGCTCAAAAAGACTTATGCGACAACCATGGGTTCTTCATCATTTCATTGGCTCACTACCTGTCAGACCACCCCAGCTCAACCCGAATACCCAAATCTCGGGTTGGGGGGGGGCGCGGCTTCCACGTGCGTTTTTTCTATGTTCCCCGACCCCCCCCCCCACTGGAAATGGATGGTAAATTTGGGCCTTCGGGCTGGGTTGGGGTATTTTGGTGGGTGGGCGCTGGCTGCCACCAAACGTTCCTGTCGCGCGCGCGCGTCGAGAGCCCTCGCGCGCGCGCTGGGAGGGGGGGGGGCGGGGCGCGATCTCTGTCAGATAATGCCATGCGGGCTACTCGCGCGCATCGGCCGCGCGCGCGTCGAATCCACCCCGAAACCTTCATCGCCGACGCGAGGGCGCCACCCACCAGCGCGATTGGCGTGGCCAGCGTCGGCGCCGTCAATGCTCATGCCGTCGACGTCGTCATGTCATCATCGCCACCACCATCGCCACTGCCACCATCGCGTCTACCGTTGTTGACGTCGTCATGATGCCACGCCCACCCAAGTCACCGACGCGCGCCGACGTACCCGCGCGTCCGCGCGGCCTGCGAGACGCGCTGGGAACTTCCCAACGGCCAGCACCACCGCGGCAGCGTCGGTCGCGCCGCGCTAGCTGGCCGCTGCGAGCGCGAGCGCAAGCGGGTCAGCGCGGCCGCGGAGAAGCACCGGCCAGCACTGGGCAGGCGTCGCAATCGCCGCCGCAGCGGCGTTGCAAACCAAGTCGCAGGCGGGCGGGCGGGGCGATTGCGCGCAGTGGTAATCACATCGCGCTGCGAACAACAAATAATCTCTTTTGATCAAGGGCTGACATGCGCCAACCTCCGGAGGCTGGACTTATCCCCCCTTGGGACGTACAAAGTGCGCATGGTCCTGCCCCATCTTGAATTCGAAATATGCAGTCACATGGCCACAGCCAAACCGGCATCGACACCCCCATCGCCCCTCGCACCGTGCACGCGCGCGCACTCCTGCACCCCGCTCAAGAAGCCATTGCAACCATCGGGGCGAAGGACGCGGGCGCGCCGTCGCGCGCGCATGATGGAATCATTCAAGAACCAGAAAAGTTTCGCGAGGATGTCAGAGACGAGCGCCCCGAAAACATACGCACACCATTGGTATGGCAGAGAGGTGTTTCTGCAACAAAAAACTGCGCTCGCGATCTTGCGGGATCTTCGTAAGAATCGATCAGGTTTTCATTATTTCATCGAAAACTTCCAAACGTGACTCTCGCGCGCGCATGTCGACATCATTCGGGCGCCCTTGCGCGGGATTGGCAATCCCTGTCGAATAATGCCACGCGGGCCACTCGCTCGAGTCGACCGCGAACGCGCGTCGAAATCCCCGCGTCAAAA